ACCCTTTTCTAATAGTGTTAGCCACTTGACACCCTGTGATAATAGTGTTAGCCACTTGATACCCTGTGCTAACACTGTTAGCCACTTGACACCCTGCGCTAATAGTGTCAGCCACTTGACAACCTGTGCTAATAGTGTTAGCCACTTGACACCCTGTGCTAACAGTGTTAGCCACTTGACACCCTAAGCTAATAGTGTTAGCCACTTGGCACCCTGTGCTAATAGTGTTAGCCACATGACACCCTGTGCTAATAGTGTTAGCCACTTGACACCTGTGCTAATAGTGTTAGCCACTTGACACCACGTGGTACTACTGTTAGCCACTTTACACGTTGTGCTGATAGTGTTAGCCATTTGACACCATATGCTAATAGTGTCAGCCACTTGACAATCTGTGCTAATAGTGTCAGCCACTTGACACCCTGTGCTAATAGTGTTAGCCACTTGACACCCTGTGCTAATAGTGTTAGCTACTTGACACCCTGTGCTAATAGTGTTAGCCACTTGACAACCTGTGCTAATAGTGTTAGCTACTTGACACCCTGTGCTAATAGTGTTAGCCACTTGACACCATGTGCTAATAGTGTTAGCCACTCAACTATCCTAGTAGACTAGTAATTAAGTTCCAGTGATAATATCTGTATCCGTGTCTCATATCCATGTCTCATTCCTGAGCTAATTATACTAGCCAGTTGTCAGTTGCTAATGTTAGCCTCTGTCAGTACCTGAGCTAATAATCCTAGCAATTTGTCAGTTCCTGGTGCTGTTAGCCACTGTCAGTCTCTGAGCTAATATTTCTAGCCAATTGTCAGTTACTAATATCAGTTCCCGGCGCTAATTTAGTCAATGTCAGTCATTGAGCTAATAATCTTATCCAAGCTATCAGTTGCTAATGTTAGCCACTGTCAGTCACTGAGCTAAATATTCCCAGCTATTTGTCAGTTCCCGGTGCTAATGTTAGTCACTGTCAGTCACTGCGCTAATTATCCTAGCTAGTTGTAAGTTGCTAATGTTAGCCACTGTCAGCTACTGAGCTAAATAATCCCAGCTAGTTATCAGTTCACAGTGCCAATGTTAGTCACTGCCAGTCACTGAGCTAATTATACTAGCCAATTGTAAGTTGCTAATGTTAGCCACTGTCAGTCACTGAGCTAATAATCCTAGCCAGTTGCCAGTTGCTAATGTTAGCCACTGTCAGTCACTGAGCTAATAATCCTAGCCAGTTGCCATTTGCTAATGTTAGCCACTGTAAGTCTTTAATTTCTTGTCAGGATACCAATTGTCATTTTAGATGTGCCTTTAATTTCTTGTCAATATATCAATTGTCATCTTGGATGTACCTTTGATTTCTTGTCAGGATACCAATTGTCATTTTGGATGTGCCTTTAATTTCTTGTCGGGATATCAATTATCATATTAGATGTACCTTTAATTTCTTGTCAGGATACCAATTAGCATATTGGATGTACCTTTAATTTCTTGTCAGGATACCAGTTGTCATCTTGGATGTGCCTTTAATTTCTTGTCAGGATACCAATTGTCATTTTGGATGTGCCTTTAATTTCTTGTCGAGATATCAATTATCATATTAGATGTACCTTTAATTTCTTGTCAGGATACCAGTTGTCATCTTGGACGTGCCTTTAATTTCTTGCCAGGATAACAATTGTAATCTTGGACGTGCCTTTAAATTCTTGTCAGGATAACAATTGTAATCTTGGACGTGCCTTTAAATTCTTGTCAGGATAACAATTGTAATCTTGGACGTGCCTTTAAATTCTTGTCAGGATAACAATTGTAATCTTGGATGTGCCTTTAATTTCTTGCCAGGATAACAATTGTAATCTTGGACGTGCCTTTAAATTCTTGTCAGGATACCGATTGTCATCTTGAAATGTCCTTTTAATAGCAAAATAAAGTAAATAAAAATTATTTAATTATTAATAATTTAAAAATTCTTCGTTCTCAACGCCGCCAGCATGTACTGTGTGCAGTATTAAATCTACTGGGTTCAATTCGGCACCTATGTATTTGTGCTTTATTGTCTAACGCACTAACAATGACATCACAGTTTATCAGATCTCTGTTGATTCGCACGGTTTCAAAGCCAACCACCATTGGCTGTCCGCAGGGGTAGAATAAATGAACCTTGCCTGGCGAAGATGACCGACATTGGGATATCTCGCAGTCGAGAACTGCAATCTGTGTTGCCGCCCTCTATTTTTACCAGTATAGAACAGGACAAACATGAATGTTGACAAGTGCCGGTAAAAAGCATGGCGTTCTTGTTTGGACAATTAATTGTAACTAAATACAGTTGAATAAGATAAACTACATATAGTTGGTTTTGGGCATAAGGTAGCTGATTTTAAAAACAAATCGGACATTTCCGAAAGAAATTACATAATACAATGGCAGTGTCTAGCAGTGTTGAGAGACTGCTGTTAATTTCTGTTTTATGTTGTTTTCCCTCATGATAAAACAATTATGAGTGTCTTTGGCTTTTAACAAGTGTGTTATGTTTTCTTGTCGATTGCCTCTGATATTAGCTTTTTCATAAAATTTAGTCATTTTGTGAAAAATCATCTTTAAATAGGGAATGTTTAATATTTTGTTGAAATAAAACGTATATTTTTCTTTGAGATATGTTGTTATTGTTATTCTCGTTTATAAGGCGTAGAGTCTGCCTAATACCAGACATCCAATTTTCAATCTGAATGAATCCATTAACACCTACCAATAATTAATAATAATAATAGACAAATGTTACTAATAAAGTCGTTTTTGACATTTTTTAGAAAGTACACAATACATGTGTGAAATACAACAAATAGGAATAAAAACAATCTAAACAATTCTAAAATATTACAAACAAACAAACTGTGCTAAGAATTTTCTAAAAAT